ACTTCTTTATCAATAAACAGTTCTCAGATATAATATTGCTGTGTTTGTGCTTTGTTTTTTGTCCAAGAAATCTATTAAAAGAATCCTCCCCGACTCCCTCTTTTCAAGTGGGACGGGACAGCTGTGCAATGCACAATGTCTTGTAGATTGGTTAGCCTTTCTCAGCTTCCATGCCTCTATTAATAGACAAATGTTGATAAACTGGCAATTATGTCTCAGAAGAGTCAAAAAATTACTAAAGCAGMCTCTATACTGCAAGGCTTCAGCCTTCCAAGTAGCTTAGGAAGGATAAATGCATGTGCAACTGTTACAATATTGTTTGTGAAAGTGGCAGGATTTGACTGAAACTGTAAGTGAGCAGCATATTAAGTAAGGCATACATCTGAGCAATGTACAAAAATTTTCCATTGATTCTCTAGTGCAGAAATAATTCTAAATTATAATGGGGATGTTTTAAGCAATATATGCACAACTTCAAATAGCTAGCAAGTCTTAAAGACTTCATTAAACAGGGCTGCTGGGTTTTGTTCTAATGGACTCTTCCTTTTTTAACATTGATTAGTCTACACGTTACTCTCTCCTGATGAAATTTAGCTCCATGCCTCCACCCAGTGGGCTTTTCTTAACCAAGAACAAAAAGAGCCCTTAAAAAGTGCACACAGTACCAGTGGAAGCTTTGGTTTTGTGAATTATTTCTTTCCGTCTTTTCTGTGGAGTGGCTCAGCTGAAGTGTAGACAGTTACTTGACATTACCTTCTGCAGCTAGGTAACCACAAATGTGAGATCTTTAAAAATGTTTTAATGTTGTTTCCATAATATGTTTGCTGTTGCTATGGAAATGGTAATTGGGAAACATCTAAATCCAGATTCACCAGACAAAAACTTAAATTTCATAGTGTGTTTTTTTAATCTAAAAATTTGAAATTAATTTTAATTTTTAAAATAAATGCAAAATAATACAACACTGGCTTGTGATTATAAATAACCCTTTAATCTGTAGTACTTATTWTCCATACTTAAACCAAGGGAAATAATTTTCTACCTTTTTTTTTTCTTTCCAATTGAGATTAATTATTGACTTGAAATGGCATCCCTGCCTTAAACTGGAAGAACTATCCTGGATATATATCCTAAAGAGCTTATAACAAAATAATTTCCTTAAATGTCAAGTTCTGGTAAATTACAAAAGGTATTTCAGATACACACACCAGTTTTGTAAAACAGTGGTTTCATATATGCTGAATGTTGTTTACATTAAGAAACACACGGTTGTTACCAGTTCTCCAACTGTCTGTGCTTTCCATTCCTTTCTCTTCTATCAAGCCCCCAACTTTACTGTGGTGTGTCACTATGCATTAATAAATATAAATTTATGAGGAAGTGTATGTTTAATTTATCAAAGAAGAAAACACAGTTAGGAAAACACTTCTGTGCCAAGCCAGGAAGAAGAACAAAACCCCTTCCTTCATTCCAGACTGAGAAAAAATACACTTTTCTGATCCCCCGCCACTTTAATGATTACATCTTCCTTATTTCTAATACCAAAACCACTCCAGAATAAACCTCTTTCACATAAAATGCTCTGCTACTCTCTGCAATGATATAAGATTTATTAATACTAACATAGAACTGAAACTAAAGGACAATTAAATTAAAGAATAATGAAAAGCTTTTCAGCCTGTAATTAATCTGCAACTGTTAACAGATGAGAAAGTCTGCAGTCTTCAGTACAAATTAGATTTTGGTGGAGTAGGAATAATAGCTCAAACATGAGATAATAATTCAAACTGCAAACAAGTCATACACTAATCTTCTGTTCTTACATTTCTTATACCACAGGTCGAATAATCATTTCTGTATCAAGTTAATTTTCTAGGAGATTGCACTGTTTTGAGACATACCTAATACAAACTGACATACAGAGATGCTTCTAGCTATTCCTCCTTTTTGGAGGAGGAGGTGGTGGGTTTTTTGTGTTTCATAGTGCTGTGGCTTTTTTTACAGCTGCAAAAGTTCTGAGATAGCTTAATTTCACATTTGCCGAATGACATTCTAGGGAAATGGGTCTTTCCTACACATTACAGTTTCAGGTTAAGATTGCTTCTGAGTTGTTTCTTTCCCC